TAAAATTATACATATTCCCGGGTCTATGCAATGAATCTTAGGTGATTGGGTTTATTTAGGTCATTTAAGTGCCATGATACTTAACAGGAAATGACGAAACAGGAAGTGACAATTTTTTTTGCATTCTTAGAGACATTTTTTGAACAAAGATAACAGAGTCCTGTTTTGATCTCCAGTCAATTCAACTAGTTCCACATACCATAAACAGGTCCAGAATCACAATGTTCATGGTCAGAATGACCCTAAACATGATGAAATAACCTTTTCAGCCCTTTGAAAATGTGTCTGAAAAATAGCTAAAAGTAGGAGCTAGGGAAGGTCAATGAACAGAATCTTTTGAATTGCTCAGAAAATGTGCCAATTATAATGTTTTAACTAATACAATCTTTTAAATTTTAGAATATTGTCTCAAACAAAAATGGCGGCCATAAAAAGGAAATTAAGTCGCTTTTCAAATCAGTTTTTCATTTTTTTCTTTTTCTATGAATGATATCAAATTTTCAAAGATTGTATCATTTAGAGCAATATATTTGGCACATTTTTTAAAAAATTCAAAAGATTCTGTTCAGTGACCTTTCCTAATACCTACTTTTTGCTATTTTTTAGTCACATTTTCAAAATGTTTTGCACAACTATATATACGAGGGTTGTCCCAGAAGTAATGCACTATATGCTCTAACTTTATCAATAATTGATATTTTTTCATGAAATTTTCAGTAAATGTTCCTTAGAGACATTTTGATTATTCTACAAATTTTCATGATGACTGATAAAACTATATTGATGTCATAATAAAATCAAGTTGGTGAGTTTGGGTAGGGTGGGGCAGGTTATACGGTCATGTGGAAAGTAACAAAAATTGAAAATATGAAATAATTAATCAACAAATACCATTTTGTGCAGCTATAAGAAGTATGCTCAAAAATACATTTTAAGATACTAAATTACTGTGAGCACATCCTAGATTTAATGGATGTACATTGCAAAGTGTCCCATTTCATATTTTCTCAAAATATTGCCCTTTGCATGTTATGTACTTTTGATGCCTGTCAGGTCAAACACTCTTGGCAATTTCTTCAACTGTGACTTGTAGAGTTTTTGTCTCCCATGTTTGGAGTTGTCATCCAGGGTCAAATCATCTCTTTTAAACCTCTTCTGCCACCTCATAATTATAGTTCTAACTGATATATAGTATATAGTTTTGCGTGGCTGTGGGTCCAAGTGAAGTATGGAATTAGGCCACCAAACGCAAGGCCTTCTGTTATCAGGTCAGACTTGCAGCCATTTTTGCCATTTCTTGACTGTGACTGTATTTGAATTTGTGACTATTGAAATGTGTTATTATGACATCACAGTGCTAAATGTCATTATTTGTACTTGGTTAACATTAAGCTGATTAAAATTTAACAATTTCCCAAAAATTTTGATCATTTAAAGGAAAGAAATATTAATAAAATAACACTTTAGATCTTTTCAAAATTAGAAAAATTGGTACCTGCCCCGCCCACCCCTACCTCCATGTTGTTATAGCAACCATATTAAGACTTAATATAAATGTTTGATGCTGAAACTACAGGATATAATATATAAGACTTCAATTGTTATATACACACAATTTCAGCTGAATTGAAGAATATTAAAAAAAGTTAGAGCATATAGTGCATTACTTCTGGGACAACCCTCGTAATTATGAAAATAATAAACCAATCTTGTTCATATTTGGTAAGTTTGTGCCCCTATCTTATTCCCTTACACTGTCAAGTTTTCATGTATGTATGATTATTACTTATCATTTTATGGTTGTTATGGTAACCAAAGTGATGACGGCACGGTCCATATCATTTTTAAAGAGAAAACAAGTAATATATAAAGCACAATACCACTTAACATGCCCAAAATAAATTACATAAACTATCAACTTAAATTTAAGCAATATCTATATTGTTCCCATGGCAAAAATGAATCTTGTACTTCTCATCTTACTTTCTTTGGAAATGCCACAGAATGACCGTAAACATTCATACATCTGGAACTAACCACCTGATTTTATGACCTTATCAAAGTTCTCATATCAATTAATGAAATACTGGAGAAAGACTCAAAATAATTGAGTTGAGGCAGAAAACATTGTTGATAGAATACATGTTAAAGAATGTGAAAACAGAATTACACGAGTCAAAATCATCTATGCATTAAGACATTGCATACGATGACTCTTATAGGCATTGCTAAGTATCCAAAGATGGAATTAGACAAAGGGAAATGTATTGAAGGTAGCTGTAATTGTCAGAAGGCTTGTCATCCTCTAGGTAGGAGGGTTCAAATTTATCATAAATTTTCGACTTATTGTAATTGAGGAAAAAATTGGCCGGAAAATGTGGAGGCATTGGAATAAAGTCAGTTACGTTTCCATCAATATTATAAGTATTTTCAGCGCAGGTTAACTTAATAAAAATTCAAACATAAAAAGGCTTTAACACGTAGTTCAATGGGGGAGCTAAGGTTTCCAAACTTATGGAGGGGAGTGCAATTATACTGTTACAACTGTGCGTGTGTCACCATGATTTACAAATATTGGATTACCAAGGCGGCTGTAACAATCACTCAAAGCCGGAATATCGAGAAGGCTTTGGACCTAAGTAACGACTCTCCCTTGTTTGCCCGATTGAAACTGAAATCGTCGTCACAAAGTGAAGCGTCTTGTTTCTAGGTGGGCGATAATTGGTGAGGAGTTTCAGAGACGTTTCAAAATTACGACAGTGTCTAATTTTTCCTCATAATTTATGCTCTCACCAAAAATAGATATTAACAAAGACAAATTCATTCATTTTGAACATAAGTTTTATTTATTTGAGTAATATACATCAAATAACAAAATTACGGCATCGAAACTGAAACCGAAAGTGAGATGCAAGGGAATAATACACACTCGTCCATGGGTTTTAGGAAACCAACCTCCTTCAAGAGAAACATGTGTTCAATTCAGTTCGCCAATTTTGAACAGCTTGCAAATCAAAATGTTTATGTGATAATTTAAACCAGACAACTTTACATTTCCTGTCGAAATGCCCATTGCTGACAGAACAGAGAACAACACTTCTTGCAGGACTGGAGACGATAGGGATCCGTACCCACTATGATGGACTTTTTACTTTTTAGAGATATTAAATTTCCAGCAGATGTTCATGGAAAACTCATTAATATAGTAGAAAAAAGGATCCACCATGGTTTAGAACTATTGAACGAACAAGTCTAACATGATACATCTGAAATCCCTCTGGCCAATTTCTACAGATCTTATTTAAAATTGCCGTCAATGGCCTTCGACTTTGGCAATTGTTTGGTATGTTATTTTGTATTTTTGGAATACAATTTATGATGATTAATAAAAAAGTTCGCCATATCGCCATAGCAACACTAAAACGAGGTACATTTATACGTAGGCAATAAAATGATATACACAAGAGATTAGTTAATCAACTGACAAAAGTATATGAGGTATACAAATAGGGAGAAAATATAATATAGTGTATAAAAACATCGTCAATATGAATTATTTTTCCAATCTTAGTGTTATTCATAGGTGATGGGTTTGATCCATTAGTGAAATCATTTGAAAAGGTACTCCCTTTTATCAAAGGTAATTGAATTTATAGTCATGGCAGGGTCAATCAAGAAAGGGTAGAGCCATTCTGTTTTAAATATATAAACAATAATAGGCTACACAATTTCTGATGAAAACAATACTGAAGTATAATGATAGTATGACACACTGTACTAAAAAGAAGGCTATATTATTCATAAAATCATTCTCACTGTTAAAATATTATCTTGCAGTGGATTCGGCTTTCAACAGAAGGGTATGCTGCTCTGTGATAAACATGAGAACTTCAAAATGGGCATTGGCAAGATTCCCCTTTAATCTTAGTATTATTTTGAAGAAAAATTAATCTTTGATATGATTAAACATAAAATAGGTGTTATTTCATTAAAAGTAAACAGAGATGACCAATAAGAACGCCCATGATTTGACAGATTTTAAGTTTTGTGCAAATAGGTATAATTATTTTATCCAATCTAATTATTAATTAGAATAGATATATATGATGAATCATTTATGATTGATGTGTTGTATTATATTGATAGGCGATGAGCTTAATCCATTAGTAAAATTATTTGAAGTGCCTCTCTTTTTGCTTTGCTTGTTACCTTGCCAACTTACCGAACAGATAAATACAAAGTCGGATAACGTTTGAACACTTTAAACAGGAGGGTAGGAACATAACATTTATTCCGAACTATTAGCAATGGCCAAAATGCCCTAATACGTCACTTCCGCTGAATAGAAAAAAGTAGTTTTAAAAAATGAATGTAGTCCCAACACAATTGTGATCATGACGAGTCAGTAAGCTAGTATGTAGGCACAGTTGTCATCTTTTTGCAATGACAACATGTCAATTCTTCTGAAAATAAGTTATTTGGGTTATCTGAAGGAAAATTTCGAGTCAAGTGGCGTATTAATTTTGCCTTCTTTTTGTGAATTTCAGTTTCAGTCCGGAGAGAGAGGGGGTAGTGTCACAATCGACCAATTATTCCAAAAAGTAGATGTTTGGCCCCTATTGAGTTTAGTGTCAAAATGTAGCTTAGACATAGTTTTAGAACCTCAGATAGGCTAGTGAGGCCACGTAAATCCATAACTCGAGATAAAAAGTCAGGCGTTTGCCCTTTTGCCCATTGACTAGTATGGTGACGTTAATTAGGGCTGTTTTGCCAATACTGTCATAACCATAGGGATGGAATAGTCTTCAACCGGAAATGTTACATTTGAAGAATTTCATAATTCAATTCATTGGGTATCAATGGAATGCGGGAAAAGTAGGCAGATTTTTATCTTATTGCACATGATTATACGGGCATTTATCCATTGACCGCAAAGTAGCTGGTTGGCGAGTGGCCACAGATACTCTCAGTTCAATTATTGATAGGGTTTGGTCAAGTTCATTCTAATACTCAGACCATCTCTGCAAACAAGAAGGAAAGGAAACTAATAGGAGTCAATGATATCTTACGATGGGTAAAATTTGCTAACGTTTGTTACACGTTGCCAATGTCAGCTTGGCTTACTATTTACCTTATTTGAGATTATATACAATTACAATTTGATTTAAATTGATGAAAACACTCTGGCTTCATATTTGCCTAATTTGAGAGTACAGAAAATGGCAGCTTGATTAAAACTTTAAAATCATAAAACTGAGATTAAATGTAATGTTAAATTAGGTCTAACAGGTTGATTTGACAAAAACTCAACCTTTTGCTATTCACCTTGACAAAGTAACTGAACAGATAAAATACAAAGCTGGAGATTTATCAAAATACTAAGAACTAACAACATCAAATTCTTCCGAAATATCGGCAATATTTTTGCAAGTTTAATAATGGAAACCTCTACAGCGGGAAGTGCTACATTTGACGTAATTCGCAATTCAACAGTGATGACAACTACGATAAGAGCCCATTCCATCGAGGACTATGTAGAATACCAAATAGGAATCGCTTTGTGGAAGTATATGTCACCTGTCGTTATCGTACTTGGAGTCATTGGTAATATTCTATCATTTCTAGTCACGACATTTACAAGTATGAAGCAGGCCAACATGTCCATATATCTCTCCGCGTTGGCGGTATTTGACACAGGAGCACTCATTGTTGGTCTAGGCCAAGCGTGGATTTTGCATTTGTTCAAATTTGATATTAGGGAGGCACATGAATGGGCCTGCAAGATCCACGTGTTCTTCACCTATTTATTTATTGACCTATCCGTCTGGATGTTGGTGAGCGTCACAATTGATAGAGTCATCTTCGTGTACCTCCCATTGAGAGCAAGATCAATATGCACAAGAAGGAACGCCATAATTGTTATCAACCTTATTGTATTGTTCATGGTTGGCATCAACTGCAATTTGATGTTTACACTTGGAGAACGGGGTAATTTTAATTGCTATTATTTGAAGGGGTTTGTAAAATTTCACACTTTATACTGGCCCTGGATCCAGGCATCAGTTTCCTCGCTTGTGCCATTTGCCATTTTGATCGTTTGCAACATGTTAATCATAATCCAGTTGTTGAGAGTGAGGAACAACAGGAGAAAAAAACTAAACGTCTCCAATTCGAACAAAGACGACAAAACACGATCTATGACAATTATGCTTGTGATGATATCTGTATTATTTCTTTGTTTCACGGCTCCAATCAGTGTCGACATCATCATTAAACTAAGCAAACGGGCCAACACGGTTGAGCGGGCTCCAACTACATTAGCTGAACAAGCACGATCGGTTCTATCTTCGGCTATTGTACACATGCTAATGTATCTTAACAGCGCTTTGAATTTCGTTATGTATTGCCTGAGTGGAAAGAAATTTCGGGATTCCTTGAAAGAGTTATTATGTCGAAAGAAAACAATCTGCGGAGGATGTATGAGGTTAAGTTCGAGTCAGGACGCAACAAACGCACAGAAAAATGTTAGCATCATACCGCAGTCAAACCAATCAAACTCGGAAAACTGGAAAGCCAAACTTAACTCAAGTTCTGGTGTATCAACGGTTGACGAGGTCACAAAGTTCTAGTATGTACATGATGAGGCAAAATTAATACATTTACTAGATTATAGCATATTGGGGTTATATAATATTGTATGTATAGCTCCTGTTGTCAGTAAGTTGTAAAACATGATGCCTTGGACACCTGCTCAAAAGAAAGTTGTACTAGGAAAATACAAAAATGCAGTCAGAGGTGACTGCCACAGCAATAAAACCAAATAACTTTCTAACCATAGTGTTTTGGCTCTTCAAATTTGGCACAAATTATCCTCATTCAATGTGTTGTGAATTTCTGGAGTTTCATCAAAATCACTCCAGGGACTTTACAGTCATGGTCAAAATGCCTTCTTATGTCTGCCTGAACCAGGGCGTTTGACTGCGATTTGAAAGCATTTCGACCATGACTGTAAAGTCCCTGAAGTGATTTGTTTCACTCTACAAATTTACCATACAGTGAATGAAGATGATTTGTGCCAAATTTTAAGAGCCAAAACACTATGGTTAGGAAGTTACTTAGTTTTTCTGCGGTTGGAGTCACCCCTGACTGCATTTTTCGTATTTTCCTAGTACAACTGTCTTTTGAGCAGGTGTCCAAGGCATCATGTTTTACAACTAATCATTTGCAGGAGCTATACAGTCTATTCTTTATTTCCTGAAAATATGAACATAATTGAACCAGTATTTTTCAAGATATAGCGATTTCTTTGGGTTGCATTTTTTTGAACACCCTGTATATTATGCATTATTTCATCTATGTAACACCGTACTATGAATTATGAAGGTGAAGGACATATATCGTTATCTTAAAAGCACGCGATAACATTTGATCATGAATATATAGTTAAATTCTCTGAACCATATACACAAGGTGTGTACCAAATTAAGTTGAACGAGCAGGGCATGGTACAACGCGAGGGTGGTGAAATTTGAGCAAACTTTGTAGTTTTCATCGTTTGGAAAAGATCTGGTCTAAATCTAAATATATTTTTTAAAACCTACATCAAACCTACATCATTGTCTTTGCTTCAAATCGGTTAAATAACTATCGTACATCTAAAGTGTATTACGGGTATATTTTGTCACTGTACCTTGTCGATGGTTAGGCGCGATCTAATGGTTTAAGAATTTAAGCCCTGGACGAGTCAGTCCATTTAGGACTGATTTTCATTCGTCTAAGATGATGTTTCAAACTTTGCACGAGATTCGCAGAATGCTAATTTAAGGACAAAACGCCTGAGTGGACTGAATCAGCCACAATTCATTGATTCTTGTTTTTTCAAGCATTGCAAAACATGTTCTACGAAATCACCTTAAAGATACGAAATCACTATAAGAACATATTATTGTACGTGTAAATATCCACTGTATAAAATGAATTTTCACAAGCCAATAATGTGCAAACGTAGGCTTGTTTCTCCATATATATATATGTATTCATGTATTACTGTATGTTTATATATATTTCTAATATGGAAATAAAATAACCTTAAAAAACAAAAAACATATTTTTAATAAACTTTTTGCAAGAGTCAAGTTGGCAAAGCTTCAATATCAATTTGTTGGCTGGCATCGGACACACCTTAGTAGCTATTTGTGTGAACGCAGACACAGCAGCCGTTCTAATAATAATCTAACTCTATGTTCCACAAATTATTTAATCATGGATGAGAAGATAATATTGAAATCACTTGACATTTTGAAATGTTATCGGCGACCCATAACAAAAATTGATACTCGAAGGATGATTATGTGATTGAAGTAAAAACCAATAGAGGTGTACGCGATAGTTCAGAATGACAACCTTCTCACCTCCCCTGTTGAAGAGCTCCAATTCCGAGAACAGATTTTTTACATCCGGGTTTTTCCCCGGATTGAAATATACTGAGTCCGATCTTGAATACATCATTTCAGCATGATTTGACATTCCTCTTCACGGATATTTGCACAATCGTTAAAAATATAGGTCCTTATGGCAATCTGCAAAGCGTTTTCACGAATATTTTTCGAAACTGACGATAATCATGAAATGTTCTACGGTGATGTCACCGACTTAGTTCCCGGGAGCTGAGACTCGATGATTCGATGTGAAAAAGAAGCAAGTTCTCGTGTATATAACGCGGGTTTGATGTCATGTTTATATATGTTTGACTTATATCAATTGTGAGGGTTGTAACTTGAAATTAGTATGACCTTTATCGTCCCGACAATACGCGAAAACATGTTTTTTAGGTTGAGAGAATTTGGTTTAATCAACGGACCAATGAAAATTTGTCCCACTTGAAGCGATGCATTGCGGGAGAAATTTAATTTATGTTAATGACCATGTTTTCGTCTATCGCGTATTAGTCTATTAAAGCCACACAAGAAAATAGTAAACCTTTCTATTAAAGACTCACCCCCGCTATAAAAGGCCTGAATCAGTTGAAAAAACATGGCTGAATTCAAAATTTAGACAAAATCTGAGCTCACTGACATTTTCCTCATTTTCTCTAGTTATAGAAACCCTATCACTCTATAAATTGTCACAGTTATCTATGAATATAGGAGGCATTGAAACATGTTAAATCCAGTCCAAGATATTATTTACTTTTGTAATTATTACTGTTTAATTTCTGATATTGGAACAACTGAGAAGGAGGAGCCTATTTTGAAATGAGCCAATCACAACAGGCGATCCGTGCATATTTAGAGGTCAACAAAAGCACATGGCCTAAAATATCTGCAGTAAATGAAGTATTATTGATATTAACTTACCCTGATCCTGGCTGAGGCATTTCAAGTGATGTGATCTTTATATATCCAACAGTGATAGTTAATCCAATTACATGCACATAGTCATGTTGTATTTATATGTTATTAATCTTGTAAATAATCTATGGAATGTGGTAAAGTATAAGTATATTGTATAATTAAAATATAGAATCCATCCATTTGTTCCAAATATTGTTTTTGTAATTAGTTGTGTAGTCCTTCAAAACTTTTCTTTGTTTGAAGGGATTCAGTGGATCATCAATTTCAGTAATGCTGGAATAATCACGGTCTACATTTTCATTCCAGTGGACGACAGCTAGATTAGTTCTTATTTCGAATTGTTGCTTTTTAAAGACAACACGCTTATCATGGAAAATATTCAACGTATTGTTGAAGCTCTCAACATAAAATGTGTCCATAGCTTCTGTATAATGTTCAGCGTGTCTATAAATTTCTGTTTTTTTAATTGATGATAATAATAATTGTTCTGCAATGGGTGAGGTGATTCTAATTTTCTCTAATCTGTAGTTGATATTTGTTTTACAGCTTGATATGGCATCGCAATTTAAATGGTTGTCCTTATAATGGTTTGGAATTTGCTCTAGTTTCATCCTGATTGTATTCGGATTCTTATCACAGTTTCGAATAACTTGCTGTGCTCTTTTTCGTGCCCCATCGGGTTTGTCTATGAGTTCCGAGTGCCACGTCTCGCCATCTTTATATTTGGGCCCCTTACAAACTTTGTTTATTTCACGACTGAATGACTTTGCCGCATGCCATGTGTCATTCTGGTTTAAAGTTTCCTTGCCACCAGGTCCTCTGTGCTCACGGATTATTTTATTGATTGTACCGTTGTTGTCATGGGCATGAATATTTATTTTAACTTGTTCAGCATCAAAAAATTCATACATCCGTTTAGTACCCAATGCCTCATGCTTTTGAGATGACATTTCATCTTCCTTTGAAACATGTTCAGAACGTATAACTCTGTGTTTGTTGTGGCCCAAACATATCACATCACAATCAAACGCATTTCTTCTACCACCATGTCGAGCATCCGTCATGATATTGATACCATTTGCCTCGACATCAGGATACGTCCCCTTTTCTTCATCTAAGGCAGCTTTGCAAGATTCTTTCATCGCTTCACTGATATGAGAAGATAATTCATTTGTATAAGTCTTCTCTTTTCTCCAACCTAGATGGCCCATACCGACTGCTTTAACAACATTCTCATATTGTGAAGGCAGTAGCCCACTTGTCAACTGTCCAAAGAAAAAACGAAGATTGACGTAAGCCTCGCTATTTGGTAAGTGGGGTGAGGAAGGCCATCTTACATAATGTTCGCTGACCTGGCATTTAAATGCAATTGTTGCTGCATGTCCATGTAATACTACTTCTTGCAACTGAAGTTCCGCTTGACATATTCTGCTATGATGTTCAACTAAACTTACAAGTTTTTTGACAGTTTTTTCAGTTGTAAAAAATATTGGTTGCTCAGTTTCATGTCTCTCTAGTGGTGTGTACCAAGACTCTGGCTCAAGATTGCCTTCAGATGATGCTGAAGTATGTGTGTTGCTACTTGCAGATGGCATATTGTGTGTTAGCCAATAGTCTAATGCTATTTCTATGGCATCTACATTGCCATTCAGGTGTAAAAACTTCTTTATTTTACTCGTTTTTCCAAGCAAAGTTTCCTTCTTCTCTTGACCTCCTGCACATTCAATTGAGAATCTTGAGGAACGCCCATGCTTTTCTCTATATTCCTTCTTTTTCTTAGCTTTACTTGCCATCATACAGTTTAGGATTGCTACAATGTGTGTCTTGCCTAGTAACTGTTAGTAAGATATGTGAAAAGGCACAAATGTAACAGTTGAAAACACATGGCAATTTAGGCAAAGGGTGTACCTTAGGGATGTGACAGTGTGGGAAATATATAACCATAATTATATTTATTTTAGTTATTAAGCTAGGGAGTGCAAAAATGATAAGCCATATTTTATTGTTGCATTATAACCACATTTCTTTTTTGTTCTTACTCAAATTCTAGCCATAATTTAATGATGAAAGTTCAGAAAAATAAAAAATCCAGGTAACTGTTTGCAACTTATGCCATGAGGCACATAAGTGGTACAGCCCCAATTAAAAATCTCAGAGGTCTAGGATTTGCCTGCTTTCACCACTTAGCTATAAAATTGAAAAATTGGGAAATTCAAGAGATTTTCTACATGCCTCATTGACAAAGTCAGGGAGTCATGTTTATTAATTATCAATCATGGTCACATCAATAGAAACCTAGATTTGGACCTTACAAGATGTGGATGTACCATATCATGAACACAGGGGTGAACAAATTACACTCTTCCACATATGAAGATTATATGTTAGATTTCTGGTGACATTCAACATTTAATGTACCTTCCCGAGTGAGTATATCTGAGATTCCAGATGATGAATCCACCAGAGAGTATTTATTATTAAAACCTCCAAGAATTGGAGAAAGCCTTGGTTTTCCCATAGTAATATACATTTATCAAGCTGCATTTCACTGGTCTTTCAGATTCTAAAAACTAAATCTATGATCCAAGAAACAGTGTCATTTTATGTTTGAAGTTCAAGCAGTGAAATGGAAAGCAGAACTTACAGCTTGAAGATAAATGTAACTGAGGAACAGAGGTTAGTGATAGAATCCCTATATGATCACTATGACTGGAACTTTGACCCCATTGAGGACAGCTACAAGAACAGTAGGTTGAATAATACAGAAAAAACAGTAAATGTGAATAGAAGAAAAGCAGCAAAGAGGAAAACATCAGCTAGTATCTCTTCAGAAACAGTAGCAATTTGTTCTTTAGAAACAGTAGCCACTGATTCTTCAACAGAAGACGAAAGTCAAGCAAGTCAGTCAATCAGCATTTTGACTGGTATGATACCACAACATGTATCTACAGAGCCTCCGCAGCCTCCTAACAATGATTCCCCTAGTTCTAATGAAGAGTCACATGATTGTCCGCATTGTTTCTGGAACCCATGTGTTGTCAATGAAGCCAAGTATGAGCCATTTTGGAGGACAACAAATGCAACTCCATCATTGTCAAACATTATAACAAGGAGAAAACTGTACAAGGAATTTTGGAGAATGATAAACAATCTAGGACTATGGAGACATCCTAACTATTTAACCAAAAAGGCAGCTTCCAAAAGTAGTGACAGAAGTATAATATACCATAAAAGGGAGATAATGCCCACATGTGTTGTCACACAAGTGAGAGAATGGTTCCCGAATCCACCTGGCATTGAATATAAAGGACATGTTTACCAGTGAATGGATATAAGTTCAGCTAGACTTACACAATGAAATATTCTTATTCGGATTAATTAAATATAATAGTATACACATTAACTATAGTAACTACTATTTGGATTATATGCTCTTATAATATTGTTTAGTGGATTATTAAATGAGAAACCAATGCATATATATGTGAGTACAAAATTTTACTGCTATGTTATTGTTTACTATTTTGGTGGCCATTTTTAAAAATCTTGTTTTGAAGGCTGTGATTGGCTCAATCGGTGTGAATTTCTATTGGTTAATGAAAACTACTTTTTGATTGGATAACAGGACCCAGGGTCTTGGTTCTGTGTCTTTAAGATGGGTTTAGGTTCCAAAACAGCTGATTCATGGATATTATGTATCATTTTGAAAACTAGTAACAAGAAGTCTTTTTTGGAGGCCGTGTTTGGCACAATGATAACAGGTAGATTATCTAAATGAAAACTGGATGATCATTAATCCTGATATTGGCTAAGAATATTTACTTAAATATGTGTTTTAATATTATTACCATGATGATTATTGACTTTTTTATTAATCCAGTGCAGCGATTCGACTAAAAGTTGATGGTTCGAATCCCGGTCATGGCAAAGATTATTGTCTTTTTTTATTTATCTCTGGCTTATAATATTTTTAAATCTCTTTCTATAGAACATATAGTCATATCTATTACTTTTTGAGGCTTTAGATTATAGAATACATTGTCTGTATGTTACTTTAACAAATCCCATGACTGACTGACGTGTGTCATAGCTTTTAATTCCGTGGACTTGTTTCCATTACTCTATTGAACATTTGATGCGATTGTTTGGAACATTAAGTAAGGTCCTTTAAGTAAGGTCTTGACTCATTTGTCAAACTTGCCGAGAGGAACATCATAATAATTGTAACAATTATTGTCAAATGAGTAAAACTCTTTCCAAATATTTTTCCATTTCCCCATTTCCTCGAAGAACATAAACTATCAAGTTTGTATGTAAGCTTCCACTTGAAGTATTCATTATATGCTGTGTGGTTCTTGTCCAAGTATTTTAAGTATGTCGCAAGTGCTTTGGGATTTGGGAACTCGTTGGTGTGAATATAGGAGCCTGGTGGTAAGATTGACTTAAAATTGTTGTAGTATCCACGCACTACTGGAACTGTGTTCATCGTAATTGAGTTCTTCCATACCTTCTCAATGACGTAGTCTCGACAATCAGAGTTTTCAAACGCTAGGTAGAACTTGTAGTTTGCACCTGAAAGTAGTTTGGTTTATTTCAAAATTGAGCCAATCATTAAACAATCTGGAATCATCAAAAAGACAATGACTGGTAGTAAGTCTAAATATGGTAATTGTAATTTAAATGGGACTTTCTCTTCTAGTGACTAATACTTTAAGTATATTTCTTTCACAACAGTAAAACTTTGTGAGGTGTTAAGCTCTCTAATTGATAATATATTGTTAACTTTGGAAATACATGTACAGTTTTACGTCAGAATGTAGGTATGCCATTGGGTACAGATCAATGTGCTTTATATGACCGCCGTTTTTGTTTTAGAAAATCCTTCAAATTTTCGAAGATATTTTATTCAAAATATTCTGCTCAGTCACATTTCACAGCGCTGAAAAACAATTTCATCATGTTAACCTATACTTGCCCCACCTTAATAATCAAATTACCGAAAACCCGTGTTTTGGCAGCTTTTAATTTTTACCGCCCAGTTCCTTTTTAATGAAATCCTCAATTTCAATATAACTTTGAAAGGATCATTACAACATTATTATTTTTTTATTCGTATATTGTATTTCTTTATTTCAAATTATTACAAAATAGCACAAATACATTAGCGGCTTTGTAAAGTACATTATAAGCCACTTTTAGGATGGTGATTCACAAAAGTAGGTCTGCAAATGATCTGATAGTAATGATACTAATAAGCTAAATAGGTCACTAGACTACCTGTCTAGTGACCTACAACATTACATAGCACTAAGCCACTCGCAGACTTAAGTTGCGAGTACTTATAAGTAGGAAACACATTTTGAAACTCTCATGAAAAATGAATCTGTGTATTGAGTGAATCGCAATCCCTTTACTGAAACTCGTATTTAATCAACAATCATATAAATAAGCAAACAAACATACATTCATTATACATACCGACATGACGCTGACATGCAGATCTGTTCTTTGGATCAGGACATGTAAGCGATCCACAGCCGCCGTATACATCTACGGGAATGTGCTCTCGTAACCTTTTCACATATACCTCTCGCCTGCTATTTGTCACACAGTGAGAGACTATCCAAGCCACGAGCTTGTTTTTACCCTGGTTGTAATCCGGCAGAACCTTTGTGGGAATCGAATTAACCTGAAATGCGATAATGGAATATTCTATTTGAGAAGCATTTATCATGCTATTTAGTTAAAATTGTTTCTTCATCCCGTTGGTTACAAATTAACAAAATGAAAGATTAAACATTTTAAACATGCTTTGAACATAAAACAAGTTTCTGTCTTAACAAGGCAATGTTTATTTAAAGTGTCATAAAAAATTATGAAATGGGCATACGTCCAGACGTTGAGAAACTAGAGTGAATCCACCGACTTGGTAAATAGTCCATGGTATGACTCCGAAATATGAAGAAGCCGTAGCACAATACTGCAATATAGCCCAGCAAAATTTGAAACAGTATTTAATGAGGTCCATAACTGATAACATGTCTTAATTCATTTAAAATACCGTTTGCTGAAAAAAACTGCGGGCTTTTGGGTCGGAATTACAAGGGTTCAAAATACGTAAACATTTTCATTCGAATTTGTGCACATTTTATAAAACCCAAGACGTTAATCTCAGCATATTTACAAAAATTGGATTGTCATTTTGTCAAAACTAATCATAATTTCAATGTGATTTTCAGTAGTTAATGACATAAGTGTGCTTACTATTTTTTGTTTATTTTTCCAAAGATTGGTCGAGCAGATTAAACAAGATTGTCTGAAGTATTTTTAAAATTCATAATTTTCAAATAAATAAGGTTTTTAAGTTTTTTTATTATTTAAAAAATTCATCAGCCAATCAGATTGCGAATTCTTAATCGGGGAAATGGTAACTGCTTATCGCAGGGGGTAAAAAGAAAGAATATATAGGATTTTGACGTCCTGTGATCGGAGGATGTACTGCTGGCTATCATCAAGTTTTTGGTGAAAATCAAAACCACTTTTTCTCAAAGGTTCATGAATTGGACTGACTTATAAACAACTGAGCAATATATAAGGGTTATGTACTGGGAGGTTTTGGATACAGGTTTTATCCCAAGGGAAATATGTGTATATCCCGAGGGACCGCAGGGACCGAGGCATATACACATATTTCCCGAGGGATAAACCCTGTATCCAAAACCGACCGTACATAACAGATGTATTTCATACCTAGCTACTGATGTTCGTCATATACCTTATAAAGTTCCAAAATTCAAAAATATACTTTAGATACGCATTTTCTTGGTGTTATAAAGTGTTTTTTTAAGTTTCTGAGATTTTCAAACTCATATAACTCATATTTTGAAAAATAAAATTTGAAAAAACAATTTGAAAAAAATGTGAAAAAAAATTCAGGAGCGGGACCGGGATGGATACAGCGTGTATCCATCCCGCCCCGGGCCTTGGCTAGATACAGTATATATTCACGCTCGTTATGTACCTAGAACCTCAGTAGGTATGAAATACTATAAGTTATTGAATGATTTGAAGTGCAGATACAGGATATATTCTGCTCGAGAATTCCGTATTGGAACGAGACGAAGTCGAGTGCCAATACAGAATATCCAGCCAGAATATATCCTGTATCGCACTTCAAATCATTCAATAACGTTTTTATCGTGTGATCCTATGTATTGCTTCTGAGATTGTCCCCTCCGTATCCGTACCAATATTTTCTGTATTGCGACGGAGATGATCAACGGGGACAATCTCAGTAGCAATACAGGTTGGTACAGCACAAGAACTGACCAATCAGAGGGCTTCATTTTACAGATCATACGATAATTAACGGGTTTGTAGAAAAAACCGGGTACCGGGTACCGGGTACCGGGTACTAAATCCTCCATGCGGGATTCCAACTTGGTACCCGGTACCCGGTCGAGAAAGTACCCGGTCGAAAAAACCGGGTACCCAAAAACTGGGCATACGTTTCTTCACAGTAGACTAGAACAGGAATAAAGCTTGTAATCCCTTTATTTACGTCGTATTTGCTATTCCCTCTGACCAAGGATGAAACTAAGCATTTAAAGGTAATAAAAAGTAAACGTTAAAACACAATTCACGACAGGGGCGAAGGTAGGCCATTTTCCAGAGTACGTTAGATCTACCGTTTTCTACCAACGATAACAAATATTTCTGAAAATAAGTGTATGTCAAGGTAACATCTCCATATAATCATGAAATGGGACGCAATCATTAATGTCATATGATATGATTATAAACATATTTGATTAAAGTAAAACACTATTGTGTTCTGCATCATGAGCATAATGTTCAAATCTTAGCAATTGATGTTAATACTTTCAAGATCAAATATTAATTTTCTACGCTTTGGCGTTGCTGTTATTTAGTTTATATTAACTTAAACTGTATAAACGGTGAACATTGTTTCAAGCTCTTTGCTGCAATGTATTCTTCATTGTACGAATATAAAACACGTTATCTATTTATTATTTTATAATACATGTAATAGTAATAGTGATTTAGTTTATTTGTTTATAATACATTGTTTTAGTGAACTGGATTTGGAGTCAGTGGTCGTCTTCGAATGAACATTCATTTGTCATGTTAACCTCCAAGATACAATGGTCAACTTTTGCTTTTACGTTTAATCATAATCAAGGCTTTCCCTAAATTTCCTGTCAGGTCATGAATGCCAGACTTCACCAAGTATTTAAATTATTTTTTTGCGTTTTATCATCCTTCCCAAAAGCTACAATTCATGCATATGGTACAACTACTACTTACCGACTTTGGTTTATCATTGTTTTGTTGCAAATATGGGGATGTTTCCACAACTTGAACCTAGGGGTTTATATAGACGGGACTTCCCCTTTTCATAATGTCATTACATGTATATATTTTTCTGTTTTGTAGGTTCCCGTGGGTAAGATACAGAAGGGGCATAGACACAACAGTGGCGTTTTTCAAGTTATAGCCGTGGAATTATATAGTTTATGCATCTTGCCTCAAGCGACGTGTTAAGTCTGGCGTGTTAACCCTAAAAATGTTTATCCCATATTGGGTTTGAGAAACACAGTTGCTGAATACAAGTGCAAACTATGAAATAACCATATATACAATAATACAATAGATAATGTTTGGCATGCATTGTGTTTCTGTTTCATTGTTAAATTAGTTGAAAGTATGTACAAAGAAGTTATTCACCAGGAGGGATTTGCTATGTGGAATATCACATGATATTAATATTTCCCGAGGGAACGCAGTGACAGAGTGAAATATTGATACCATCCGAGGAATATTCTCAATATCATCCCGACAGGTGAATAACGACCTTATACCATGGTCAAGAGCAACATATATCTAAAATCCTTTTTGAATGAGAGAAAATGTTTGAAAAAATGAAAAATTTTGAAACAAATAACTTTTTTGAAAATTGAAAATTTTTGAATAAATACCCGGGTTGATATCCATATCATCCCTCTAATCCCAATATCATCCATATCCCAAATATGTGATTTATCACTTACTATTATATACTGAGATATTGCTCTGACCATGGTATAAAAAGAATAACTTATCATAAGCAGATTTCTTTTCAGGGTATTCAACGGCGATGTAGGACTTGAAATCTGCGTCACACATCCCGGACACACATTTCCTCGGATATTCTCAAATAAGCAGTTATACCTGTTTGCATGTTTTACTTTTGATTTGATTTGATTTGATTGTTTAAATTAGATAAAGTCTTTCAAATGCGGTCAAATGTCACCAGTATCTGGAGGGTTGAGACTTTATTTAGGAATTAAATTAGAATAAGTATAACGTTGATCTTATTGATTTATTTTCTAAACCATTTTCCGTTTTGTCGCATGAGTTAGAAATAACTTGATTCCAGCTAAAATAGATAATGCGTTGCAATCATTTAAAGATTATCCTTCTGTTGTTTGTAACCATATTAATTAATGAGCATATGTTTAGAGGTGCATGCGGGGGTGCTTGCCGTTTTATTTTGCCATCTACATTTTATATTATCAGCTCTTATCTTGATATGTTGAGAATTCTTCAGAGACAACTCCCAGACACTATCATGGACCGACTAAACACTTTAAAGTATAAGTAGCGGCCTGCTTTTGCCATGGGGATTTTTATTGCATAACTATGAAATTAGACTGTTAAAGGCAGACAAATTGCAAGCAAAATCAGATCAGATTATTTTGCCATCTACAATTTATATTGTTATCTGTCTTGATAAGTTGAGAATTCTTCAAGGATATCTCCGAGAAACTAACATGGACTGGCTACATTATTCATAACCTGCTTTTGCCGGGGGGGGGGGGTCAGGCCCGTCAGAAACCTGTCTTCAAGGGGGTGCGATTTTACCCCCACCCCCCCCCCCCCGTGGGCCTAATCCGTTTCTATTTCCCTACCCAACATGGACTGAGTGCGTGTTTGCGTTGGTGAAGGGTTTGGTATAATGGGGTTTCTTGAGAAGGGCAGTCAGAAATGGCAGTCTTGGCAGTCAGAAATTATTTACGCCACCCCTTCCCCTTTATCAAATGCTCATGACTTGAAATGCTGAACTAAGCTTTATGTGCATTTCGCACAGACATTCAATAGGCTAGTTTTTTTTATTTATTTCATTCCTATCCAACAGCAATCATCCATGACTTTTGACAAAGTGAAATCAACTATTCAGGCTTCATGATCTTGTGGAACTTCAATAAGGGAACGAAGGTTTTATCCTCATTATAAACAAATGCAAGAACCTTGAAGTATATTAATCCTTAATAATCTAGGAACTGTTTGGGAGGGGGTCTTATATCTATGTCACTCCACCACAAGTAGACACATTTGTCTCCAACTTTTTTTTGTGGACGATCGATGTTTGGCGGTTGGTGTTTGACGTTTGGCATCTGTAACAAAATGTAATCACACAGGCAGATTAATAGTACTTTGAGTAATTATTATTATAGATTATACCTAGGATGATCCTAGGGTTATACATGTAGTGTCTCTTTGTTCATGGGAATCAACTTGAATCGCATAAGCCGACATTTGACAGCAGTTTGATTTTTCATCGAACATAATTGCAATCAATTTCCATGATATTTGGAAAGAGCAAACATTTTGAAAGCAAATGTACATGTAATCAAGTTTCGGGATTTCTGATATAGTTCAATCAAGCTTTGAAGAAATTAACTTCATTTCCCCATTGTATCCTCAGAAAATTAAACTAAGTGGAGACATTACATATGTATACTGTTTTGTAATTTCAAATTGATATCATATTTACACGTCGCACGAAACTGGGGACAATTAGAGTAACATTATGGCGTCAAAAAACCAAAACAATACAATGGGCAGTATAGGGCGCAATCAGCATTATAACGTCAAAAACGACAAGTGTTACATTTTGTCAAGTTTAGTCAACCTAAAAATAAGATGCTCTATTCTTATTCAATCCTGGTAAAATTCACAGAGCAACAAGATCTCGAGGACAATATTTCTAAAATGTTTTTTATTTTTGAAAAACGGTCAGGAAATCCACTCGGGGCGTTAGTAAAAATTGATGTGTATTGGATTTGTGGTAAAAATCGATGCGTTACATTTTTTCAAGTCTCTAAAAGCAACTCTTATTCTCTTATTATTTGAAAAATAAAGAAATCGGTTATTGTTTTGTAAATTTCGCCATGACAATATTGTGCAGTTAATTTTTTTTTGAAATCAGACCTAAATTAGAAGGTTAAATAAAGGCAAACTTATTGCTTGTCTCCTTCGCCTTCAAAACCTTACACAATTTTGAAAATCTTAAAAGCGTTCATATAAGACGATTTGAACTTTAGCCGCTAGGCAATTGTGACGTCATAAAAACACATGTTTCAATGAATAAAATGTGAAATTTTAGTAAAATTCTGATCAGTATTTCAAAAGTTATCCCGATTTCAACGAACCGTGTAAGCGTGAAATGTTACGCCTTACAGCGTATTTGACGATGTCGGAGTACATTTAACTTAAAAAATATGGTAGATCCCATCACACTTTTCAAGGAAAAATAAGTTCAGTAAAATGCGAATAAAAAATACTTCAAAATGATATATAATGCACATAGTTAGCTTTTTAAATAAGCCAGACATTAACGCTTAAAGCTGAGATTAGCCCGTATTTCCCGAATTGTCCCCAGGTCCGTGCACGTCATAATTACGCCTTTAGTGTAGGCTACGTGGCGCAATTGTAATTATTCTCAATTATCCATTTAAAATGCAACTGTATTCTAAGATCCAAGGCCTGCACTTTATTGTGTTCAGTACTATGCAAAGGCGTAGTGAGGGGGGATGGGTGCGACCCCGATAACCAATAAAATAGAACCATTGGATAGAAGAAACGAGCTTTAAATTGAAAGCGTCTAGCTCACTTTTGAAGGCAGTTGCATCAATTTTTGTAAAATTCAAAACAAATCTTGAAAAAATTGGTTTTTGCCTTGCTCATGCCACGATCGCCCCCGGCAACCTGACTGAAAGCTGGTTACGCCCCCGCTGTGTATTAAAATAACTCGCGACTTTTTGCTGGGAAGAGCGTCTGGGGACCAATATGACGCTAGCTTTTCCTACTTTTAATTTGAAAATTGAGAAATTGAATCATTATCAGGTCAGAGAGTGTTATGCATCGTACATGTGCATGTACAATGTCCAGTTGGAACTGATAATTTAAAATTTCCGCTAATCACTTTGAAGCAAGTTAAAAGATCTCATCCTGAGAACTTGTAGATTTTATGGTCAATATTTGAAGCAACTTGCAAAAACGT